GCGGGCCTCTCACTGCTGTGGCCTCTCCCGTTGCGGAGCACAGGCTCCGGACGCTCAGGCTCAGTGGCCATGGCTCACGGGCCCAGCCGCTCCGCGGCATGTGGGATCTTCCTGGACCGGGGCACGAACCCGTGTCCCCTGCATCGGCAGGCGGACTCTCAACTACTGCGCCACCAGGGAAGCCCAGAAGCTCATTTTGAGAGGAGTTTATCACCTAATCAAGCAGCTGCCCGTCACTGAACCACCCTGTAGATGTTGGACTTGGCCGGTTTTTACAGTATAGCTTCAGTCATTCTCACACAAGGGCCGCCCACACCCTTTTCCTGTCAAGCCGGTGCTCGTACCCTGGCGGTGTGTTGGCTCTTAGCTCAGGGTTGCTTTGTACCTTCTCAGATTCCAAAAGCACTCACATTTCAATAAGATTTTATTTCTGCCAACTGTTTACCGAGAGGCTACTATGAGCTGGGAAGGGAACTAGCATTGTTTTTGCTGTGTTTCAAGGAACACGATGTGCCCTGGTTGTAGCCAGCGTCCAGGGGAGAAGGGAACACGCAGGAGCTCTGGGTCAGATGCTCCGTTGCTGTCTCCGAGTCTGTTTCCGTCTTAACCTCCGGGTCGGCGCCCTATGCCCGTGGGGGTCAGCATGCTCGTCTCTGCTGCGGGCACCGCGGGGCGGAGGCTGCGGGTGCGAGGCTGGATGCAGCGGCACCTGCTCTCAGAGCATGGAGCTTACGAAGCAGGTCATTAGAATCGGCCATGGAAGATTCAGAACAGAAACATGGTCCTGGATCTGCTCATAATTCTTTGGTGGTGTTTGTGTTCATCGTTTTATGGGCGCTTAAAAAGGGTCACTATGGTAGAAATGAATCTGTTCCCAGAAACATTTACTTTACAGGAAGCTGTTATTCTGGGGCATGAGTTGGCAGACAGATGGTAAACATTGTAGGCTGTGCCGGCCGGTGCGGCGGCGGGCTGCTGGGGACAGTGTCCCGGGACACCTGACCCACCGAGCAGGCGGCCGGCTGGGCTTGGCCCGCGGGCCACAGTCTGCAGATTCCTGGTCCAGGAAAACAAAGCAGGTTGATTTTGTGTTGACTGGCTGACCCCTGGGGAGGGCCGGCTTTCTCCTCGTTACAGCCCGTATTTCTTTCGGCACACGCGGGGTCAGGGGCGGGGAGCGCCGGTTGACGGGGAGCTGGGTCCTCACTGTCGCCTGTTCCGCAGCCCCCCTGACTTTCTACAACGTCACTCTGGACGCCTCCCAGCAGGAAGCGGTCTGGTTCGCGCTGTCCCAGAAGGAACTCGCCATCATCCATGGGCCTCCCGGCACCGGGAAGACCACCACTGTGGTTGAAATCATTCTCCAAGCTGTGAAACAGGGCTCAAAGGTGGGCAGTGGGCACCGTGTCCCCGCCGGCACCCCTCACTCCGGTCTGCCGTGCTCGCAGGTGCCCAACAGGGCCCCAGCCTGGGCTCTGGGGGACTCGGTTGGCAGTGTTCCTGAGTGTTTACTGACTGAGCACTGGGCTGGGCCCTTTTCAGTCTCTGACAGCGCCTGGGGTGTGGGGTCGTGCTTGGGACCGTTGGTCTGGGGTGGTGAGGTCTGGGTTACTGTCGACCAGGCCACAGTCCAGGAGCCGCATCTGCTCAGCACCCACGCTCTGTGCTCAGGCCCCTGCTGGGCATGCCGGGCGTGCAGGTGACCAGGGGCTGTCTGTGCCGTTCAGGAGGAGACCCTGCAGCCAGTTACCGGAGACAGAAGTGTTTTGGGTGATCAGGTGGTCTGGTGAACTGTGCAGAGTGCAGGTTACCGGTTTCCGAGATGTGGAATGTGATATCGTGTATTATTGTTCACTTAGATTTTTAATGGTTGAGAAAGGATCTTTCATCCTCATCTGTATCAACACAAGTCATCGTGGATCCTGAGCACGTGGAAAGCTTTTTAGAAAACCTTTCTGGGTCGTAAACGTTGGATAAGGATAAGAATTAGAGCAATCTGGTCCACATTTGTAGGTTGACATTTCCTGGGTGCTTCTTACGAACGAGACACGTTTCTCAGTCTTTCCAGAGTTTGCCCCTTTAATCCTCACAGAAGCCCTGGGTGTGGGGACTCTATGGTCTCGGGCCGCGTCCCTCCACAGTGGGTGGCAGAGCCAGGACTCAGACTCGGGTGACACTCTCCCCAGAGCCCCTGCTCCTGCAGGGAGATCCATGTTGGTTACAAGGCCATGTCCAATGGTCTCCTGCAAATGACTGTCTTGGCAAGACGTTTACCAAGAAAAGCTGGTGAAAGATGACTTACTGGCAGGGAGCAGATTTGATGGTTTAATCGGGTGCCTCTGTTGCAGGAAACGGTGGAACAGGAGACGTCTGTGTTCATGCTTTGGTGCAAACCGCCTTTGGCCACCTGGATGGGGTGGGGACCCTCCTCTCCGCCTCCCCTTCCCGCTCCACCCCCTCCTAAGAGCCAGACTGCAGTTCTGGAAGCAAGATTGGGCCCGTTCAGAAAGGTTTTTCCTCATTCCGCTTTGTCAGACGATAAAGTGACTTGATGGGTGATGAGACGGGTGTCCCAGCCCTGACTGTCTCAGGGCACTTTGAGGCCTTTCCTTCCAGTTGCCGGGCATCCTTTCTGGTCCTTTGGAGCCTAACGGGTTCTTAAGACCCGAGGTCTAGTATCCAGATGTTGTGTCGGTTTCCAGTAACTCATGTCCTGCAGACTGTCTGCATCTGTCCTTACAGCCGGACGTTTACACTGTAACGTTACTGGTTGTGCACGTTCCACCCTCCTCTCTTTAACTTTCGGACTTTCCATTTGCTTAATATGAACTTAAGTGATTTCATTAAAAAAGAAATCACCAAGCCCGAGTTTGTGCTGTGCTCCCCCAGGTTCTGTGCTGCGCCCCCTCTAACATCGCCGTGGACAACCTGGTCGAGCAGCTGGCCCAGTGGAAGCAGAGGCTCCTGCGCCTTGGGCACCCTGCACGGCTCCTGGAGTCTGTCCAGCAGCATTCCCTGGACGCGGTCTTGGCGCGGGGTGACGGCACCCGGATTGTGGCTGACATCAGGAAGGACATCGACCAGGTCTTGGTGAGTAGCTCTCAGCTGGTGTACGCTCTGCGTTTGGGAGTGCACTGTATCCTCTTGCTTTTCTCTGGCCTTTGCCGATTCATGTACTTATCTTGAACGTTGGGACTGCCCATTTTTGGTACAGACCTGTGCTCAGTACTGAAACAGGGACTCACCTGTCTTCAAGATAGTTTCATGAAGAGGCGAGCAATTGTCTTGCAGAAAATATTCCTCTTAAGGATTTCTTATGTCTGGCATGTTGGCTGGATAATATCGACAAGCAAAAAAAAAGCAGCCTGAAAATAAAAATTCAGAAAATATGCATCCTCCCTAAATTTCTAGTCCATTAATATAAAACATGGTGTAATCCTTGTGAAAGAGAACTAGGTAGGTGATAGGTCAATCTGAGATGGGGTTTTCTCGTGCAGTTCAGAACTTTCGAGCTCTTTGGGTCTCTAGTTTACATGTCCGCCCCCAGTTCCCTTAATCGCGTGTCCTGCCCTGTATTTGCTCACCGCCAGCCCGTCTCACTGCCTCACATTTCTCTCTTCGTGTCGGGGGCTGGTGCAGAGACTCAGCCTTCCCCACGGACCTGTGGAATAGTGGGAACCCCAGGGGCAGAGACCAGGACACACGCATGTTACTCAAGGTTAAAGGCGCTGTAGGAATTTGCAGTGATGTGATTCGTGCCATCACACGTGTGGATGATTTCATTTTCCTTTTTTAATAAATTATTTAATTAATTAATTTATTTTTGGCTGTGTTGGGTTTTTGTTGCTGCGCGCGGGCTTTCTCTAGTTGCGGCGAGCGGGGGTTGCTCTTCGTTGTGGTGCGTGGGCTTCTCACTGCGGTGGCTTCTCTTGTTGCGGAGCACAGGCTCTAGGCGTGCGGGCTTCAGTAGTTGTGGCTTGTGGGCTCAGTAGTTGTGGCGCATGGGCTCAGTAGTTGTGGCGTGCAGGCTTTAGAGGGCGGGTTTAGTAGCTGTGGCGCACGGGCTTAGTTGCTCCGCGGCACGTGGGATCTTCCCGGACCAGGGCTCGAACCCGTGTCCCCAGCGTTGGCAGGCGGATTCTTAACCACTGCTCCACCAGGGAAGCCCAGTTTCATTTTCTTGTTCCTTTTTAAATCCATGCTTTTTGGGACGTCCCTGGTGGCGCAGTGGTTAAGAATCTGCCTGCCAATGCAGGGGACACGGGTTCGAGCCCTGGTCTGGGAAGATCCCACGTGCCGCGGAGCAACTAAGCCTGTGAACCACAGCTACTGAGCCTGCTCTCTAGAGCCCGCGAGCCACAACTACTGAAGTCCACGAGCCACAACTCTTGAAGCCTGTGTGCCACAGCTGCTGAAGCCGGCACACCTAGAGCCCATGCTCCACACCGAGAGAAGCCACCGCAATGAGAAGCCTGCGCACCGCAACAAAAAGTAGTCCCTGCTCGCCGCAACTAGAGAAAGCCCGCATGCAGCAACGAAGACTCAATGCAGCCAAAAAAAAAAAAAAAAAAAAAATCCATGCTTTTCAGAGTTTTCTTCTCTGTAAGTTACACCTCCCTCCTGTCATTCCGGCTAAAACCCCTTCTCCAAAGCAGAAATCACAGATAAGGAAGGGGTTACGTGTCTTTTGCGTATGGAAGTAAGTCAGGGTCTAGGTAGACATTTTGGGGCTGAAGAAAATATTTTACTCTCTTGACAGATGTGGAATAGTGAGAGAAACTCAACTTCTCTCTGTATAAACTACCAAAACCCAAATCCTGGCACAAGCAGGTGCTTTTTCTTCCCCAGGAGTATGTCTGATGACTGTGCAGGGCAGGGCTGGGCTCCCACCCCTGGGCTTGGCTGAGCTTATGGTTCTTGGAGGACCTACACTCTCCCTTCCTCCCTCTCCCTGTGGAGGTGACAGTGGCTCTAAGGCCAGTCAGGATGTCACCTGTGTGGATCTGTTGCTCCTTCAAGAAAGACTTTTGACTTTTTAGCATCTTTGAAGGGACTTAAGTGGACCAATTGATGATAAATAAATAAAAGCATTTTGTGAATTAAAAGGAGCTAAAGTAAGTGCAAAGTCAAGCCAGAATTATGATGTTTTCTTTGCTTTTCTTTACAGGCAAAAAGCAAAAAGACCCAGAATAAAAGAGAGAAAAGTAATTTTCGAAATGAAATCAAGGTGTTAAGGAAGGAGCTGAAGGAAAGGGAGGAAGCAGCCATGCTGGAGAGCCTGGTAGCGGCCAATGTGGTCCTCGCGACAAACACAGGTGAGGGGACGGGCCTCCACCCCGTGTGGCCTCGAAGAGGGCTGGGAGTGTGCCCTCTTCCTTGGTTTTCTGGAAGAGTTTGGTAGAATTGTCTTTCAAATTGGGTAGAACACACCAATTCCGGCCCTTCTGGGCCTGCAGTTTTCTCTGTAGGGAGGTTTCTTCTTTTTTTTTTGGCCACACTGCATGCTGGCGGGATTTTAGTTCCCCAACCAAGGACTGAACCCGGACCATGGCAGTGGAAGTGCCGAGTCTTAACCACTGAACTGCCAGGGAAGGGGACTCCCTGTAGGGAGGTTTTTAACTGCAAATTCAACTTCTTTAATTGATATAGGATATTCAGGGTGTCTCTTCTTGAGTGAGCTTGTGTGTTTCAAGGAATTTGCCCATTTAATCTAAGCTGTTCAATTCCTAGGCATAAAGTTGTTCATAATAACCCCTTATTTAAAAAATGTCTGTAGCATCAGTAACAATGTCACCTCTTTTGTTCCTGATGTTGGTAATTTGTACCCTCTCTTTTTCCCCTGATCTTCTGGCGGGAGGGTTATTAATTTATTGATCACCTCAGAGCACTGGCTTTTGGTGTCACCAGTTTGCTATGTTATTTTTCTGTTTTCTGTTTCATTGATCTCAGCATTGGTTCCTATTATTTCCCTCTTCCCGCTCACTTGGGTCTAGTTTGCTCTTCAATTTCTGGAAGCGGAGGTCATTGATTTGTATTGATTTGAGACCCGTTGTGTTTTATACTATAGGCATTTAGTGTTATAAATGTTTCCCCGTGTCCTGTTTTCACGGCATCCCATAAATTCAGATGTATTGGTTTTCATTTTCATTCATTGTGAAATATTGTCTCATTTCCCTTTTAATTTCTGTTTTTGACCCATGATGATTTAGAAGTGTATCATTTTCTTTGCAAATATTTGGAGATTTTCCAGATAGCTTCCTATCATTGATTTCTAATTTAATTCCACGTGGACAGAGGACGTACTATGTACGACTTGGATCATTTCATTGAGGCTTATCTTATGGTCCAGAATGTGGTCTCTGTGAACGTTCCACGTACGCTGGAAAAGAATGGGCTGTCTGGTTTTGTCAAAGTGTTTTATAATGGTTGATGACTGTCGTTCAAGTCTGTATCTTACTGATTTTCTGTCTGTGTGTCCTGTCACCGAGCGAGGGGTGTTGAAATCAGCTGTAACTACACATGCGTTTATTTCTCCTTGGAGTTCTGTCAGTGTTTTCCCTGTGTCCTTTGTAGCTCTTTTACTTGGGGCGTAAATGTCATGTTTTCTTTATTAATTAACCAATTTATCATTATGAAATGACCTTCTTTATCCCTAGTATGTTCTTTTTTTGAAATCTACTTTGGTATAAAGGTAGTCACTTCAGCTGGAGACCACATTTAGCTGCTTTAGGCCTTTCTAATGTGGCCACTTGGTTCTTAAAAGCCAGCAAGTGAGAGAGAGTCTTATAGCAAGATGGGTTACAGTCTTCTGTAATGTTACCATGACGTGACACCCCATCATCTTTGCTATATTCCTTTGGCTAGAAGCAAGGCACAGGTCTGGCCCACGCTTAAGGGGAGGGTATTACACGGAGTGTGAATACCGGGAGGCCAGGGTCAAGGAGGGGGTTGCCTTAGGGTCTGTCTGACACAACCTCTCATGGGGGCTACTCTAAGGAACAGAGTCCAGGTTCTGATTGACTTTGTAATTATTGTTTCATCCAGTTGCCTTTTATACCAGATAGGACAAAAACAGAATTACAAAGATACTTTCATAGTGTTTTTTGTACTTACCAATGTAGTTGCCTCTATTGGTGCTCTTTGCTTCTTGGTGTGGATTTGAGTTACTGTCTAGGGTTCCTCATGTCACCCTGAAGGACTCCCTTTAGTATTTCTTGAAGGGCAGGTCTCAGCTTTTCTCTACCTGGGAATATCTTTTTTCTCCTCTGTTTTTGAGTGACTCTGTTTTTAGAGGTAGAGTTCTTGGTTGACAGCCTTTTCCTTTTAGTTGTTTGAACGTTTCACCCCCTGCCTCTCGGCCTCTGTGGTTTCTGCTGAGAACACAGAGTTAGTCTTACTGAGGATCCCTTGTATGTGACAGGTTGCTTCTCTCCTGCTGTTCCTTCTTTGTCTTTTGGCAGCTTGACTGTGGTAAAAGTCTTGGTGTGCTCCCCTCGGGTTAACCACATGGATTTGTTGAGTCCCCTGGATGCGTGCATTGTTTTTCATCAGATTTGGGAAGTTTTCAGCCATTATTTTTTCCAATATTCTTTTGGCCCCTTTCTTGCTCTCCTTTCCTTCTAGGGCTCCTATTATGCACACGTTGGTGTACTTGATGGTCTTCAAGGTGGTGGTCATGGGATTCATTCTTTATTCTTTCTGTTCCTCAGACTGAATAATTCAGTTGTGGCCTGTTTCCCGATTCTTCTGCCTCTTCAGATCTGCTGTTTAGCCCTTCCAGTGAATAACAGTTACTGTACTTTTCAACTGCAGACTTTTTTTTTTTTTTTTTTAAATAATTCTGTGTCTTTATCGATAGTCTGTCTTTGGCGGGACGTCATTCTCAGACATCCCTCACCCTCACCTCCTGTGGGCGCAGAGCGCCAAGGTCAGCCAGAGGTGAGTGCGTAGGGCCTCCTCTGGTCTTTCCCGAGTGTGCACACAGCCCTTACACGAGTGTGGCTTCTAGGTTCTCGGCCACGTGTCGGAGCTTTCAGAGCCCATGGACGTCTCACTCCCCAGGTTTTCCTTCAAAGCTTCTGGTCGTCCTGCTTTGCGCCAGCTGTTATCCACGGCCTCCGAGAGCACTCGTGTGCAACAGTGGCCTCTGGTTGTTTCCCACTGACACCCCCTGGGGAGGGACTGTTTGCACAGGGCGAGCTCCAAGTCAGGTCAAATAAAGACAGTCTTGCGAGCGGGACCTTCCAGGGAACCAGCAGCAAGTCTGGCAGTGACAGTTCTCTGGGGGTGGGGCTTCACAGGAGTTCTGCCCCCAGTGGGGCAGGCTGCTGCTCTTCACTGTGACTGCAGGCCGTTGGTTTCAGGGCCAGCACAGAGCTGGGCGCGGTGCCTGTGCCCAGGAATGTCACAGAGCCTGCTCTG